ACGACGACCCTCCCGGATGAAACCTAGGCCCATGTCTGCGAGCTCACGCAGCAGGTCCATTCGAGCCTCAAGATGCATGGACCCTTTTAAATTGGACAGGTGTGCGCCAACATCCGTCAATGTGATGGGGTCTTTGGTGCGCGAAGACAAGAGCCTGGCAGGTAAGGAGCGTGGCTCCCGATTTGGAGGTGGGCTGGCGCCGCGGCACTGAGCGCGCCCCGCACACCGAGCAGCAACCTCCCAATCCAGAACATTGCAGTCATGAACGACGCGCAAGTCGAAGTGGCGAATGGCACACTTGAGGGCATGATCAGGCAAGCCGAATGTGGAACATTGCGAAGAAGCGAAATCTTGGAATGAAGTGAGCAAAGCAGCGGTCGGGACGTGATACTCCATTTTGCCAAGCGCAGCTCTGCCAGCCGAACCCCACCCGCCGCTCTCTTCCAATTCGTGAAGTTCATGGTAGAACTTTCGAACAGCAATCTGGGCCGCCGTGGAAGGTGCAAAGTGTCTAGGTGGAATCTGCGTGGGGCCCCAATGAGTGGCAACATGAAGCCAGTTGGCCTGCAAGAACGGATGAACGACGGACGAATCCAACAAATCCGTCTCTGGGTCAACAATCGCACGGCCTGCGGCAGTCATCAGAATCCGCGCGCCAAAGCCACACTGATGCAAATGTTCAACTTTGGCCCACCACCTTCTAAAGAGAGAAAACTGTTGAAACAAGCAAATGTTGACGTTGGTGGAGCCGAAAACAAGAGGCACTGGCTGGTCAGCAGGCAATGCGGCCACCTGGTTTGCAGCTGGGCGAGGGCGGGATGACGCCTTCTCTTCAGCGCCTGTGCCCCATTCACATTTGCCGCCGTTGGCGCACTCCAGCCACCGTGTCAAATCAAGGTATTTTGCAACGTCGACCGTCTCTTTAGTTGGGAAAGACGGATCAAGGATGGGCTTCGCCTCTGGACCCCAAAGTAACAACACACCATCGAGGCGCCTCAAACGCTCTTGTATCTTTCCATTGTTCCCCACACCGATGAAGTGGTCAGCGTGGTAGAAGCACGATGTTCGGCGACTGTGCGCTCAAAGAGTTTGGTGATAGCAGCGCACGCAGGAGACTCGCCGGCATTGAGGTCCCCAGTTGGGCAAGCCCACCAACGGGCCCTGCATGTGAAGTGCGCCGACCGGTCAGCATAGAGTGCTATGGACAAGTCTTTATGCTGACAGGAAGCTAGACAAGCCTGTCGAAGACAAATATGGCTGGAAGCCCACAGCCACGATGCAGGAACTCACACGCTACGGCCATGCGCAAAGTGGTTGTGTAACCCAGGCGCCTGGGGAGCTTGGCTGCATGCTCAACTGACAGCCTTTGGGTTTTGATGAGACGCAGGTTGTCGAGAGAATGCTGCGCGACTTCATCCAAAGAATGGTGCAGAGTGTATTGGGAATACATGGGAACAGAAGTCCAAAAGTTCCCATCCTGCGCAGCTAGACCAGCCGAATTCGCCAATATGCTGAAGTAATGCTCGACCTCAGCTTGTGGATCAGCAGCAAAACAAGGCAAACCAACGGAGGCAGGCACTCCAGAGAGGTCAATTGGCGCCACACAATCAGAAGGGGTGGTACGCAAAGCTGCCGCTGCAGAAGAGTCATTGACTGAAGCAGGCCAAATCACACGCGCAGGCGGAGAGCGGGATCTCGATGCTTGCGAACCAGAAACATGGACACGGCCCCGAGGGGGAGAGCACGACAAACGGCAACCGTGTGCAATTGCACGTGGCAAGTTGCCTGGGTGCGCAGCGGCTGCTTGCGTAGCCATGTCCAGGGAAATTCGAATGGGACACTCCGCCTGAATGCGACCGACAAAATCATCGAGGATGTGGTCATCCAAGTCAATGCAACACGGACTGCTCCTGAGCGCTGCAAAAGAACTGGCTCCCGTCATAGAGGGGACCTTCCTAGCACGCTTGGAATAGTGGCGCGCGAAGCGGCATTGGCAAACAGTGTGCAGCCCATGGCAATAGCACCTGTGCGATGGAAAGTCCACGACCCAAGCGCTTGACGATGCGTGCAGGTCGCCGTCGGAAAAGTCACGGATGGGATCGTCTGACACGGCACGAGAGAAAGAATCATTGGCAGCAAATTCCAAACTCAATGCGTTGTTGACAATTGTGACTTGGACATCATCGGTCTTGCTGTCGGTTCTTGCCCCTGCTGGCCTCTTGCGACAGCGGCGTGCGAGCACGCAGTGGCAGACCCCGCTTAGACCATGGCAAAAGCACCCTGGGCCCTCTGACGGCAGGGTCCTTGCTGAGGCACGTGCCTCCTCATCGGAGAAGTCGCTGATGGGATCTTTCGAGCAGGCATGGGACAAAGAACGGGCGGCAGCAAAGTCCAAAGCCAAACTCTTCGTAATTGTTGCCCCAGCATGATCCGAACTAGCCGGTGAGTCCAGCAAAGTGCCTGCTGGGGATGTTGGGCTTCGGCACGCTGTTGGTTCATACATGTCAAAAGGCAAGGTTGGAGAAACAAATGCCTCGGAAGGCAGACCCCGGTGTAGGCAGGCATCTGGCTGTTCAATGCTTTGGAAACCAAGGGGCGTGGACTGCGATCAAAGCAAACCACTGCACAAACTTCGCAATCTGCGTCTGAACATGGCTCGGCTGGGGGCGGTGTGCGACTGGTGCTTTGGGCCGACTTATCGCCACCAACAGACAAGCCTCTACCATGACAAGGACGTGCGCACACCCTGCAATCAGGATCCGAACACAATCCGGAAAAACTCTGATCAGATAAAGGAACTTCACTGGCATCTCGCTGTTCGAGGCTTCGAGGACTGCGATCAAAGCAAACGAAGGCGCAAACCGTGCAATTCGGGTCTGAACATGGCTCGGGCAACGCAGGAGTACCCGCATTGGAACCCAAGTGTTCATCAACACACGACAAGCCTCGACCGCTCATAGGATTGGAACTCATCAGACCACCGCGCCCCAACGCCTGATTGGTGCAAGTGTTGTGGCAAGAGGCCCGCTTCGGTGCGAACACATCACCGGAACAATGCTGGAAATGGCCCACATCAGAATGTGTACTCCGTGTGAAAACCATGCAAGGACTCTGTGGAAAGACCGAGACCCATCGAACAGCTTGCTGCAGCGAAATGTAGCAGGGCGAGGACCCAGGCAAGAACAAAAAAGCCCCCTTTGCAGGGTCATGGAAAACAAGAAGACCAGTAGGGTAATAGTCTTTCAAAGCACCCACAATGACTGCGATCTGCTCCGTGGAGGTGGCAGGACTCAGCAGTGACAAGCAAGTTTGGGTGTCATATCCAAGTTGAAGGAGCCCTCCGTCCTTCCTTCCTTCCTTCCTTCCTTGCGGAGCCCTGAAAAGAAAAAACATATCCCACCCCCCCAAAAAAAAATATCCCACGGAAATATGCCCTCCAACCTCCCAAAAACAATCACAGGGAACCCAGGGTTTGGCTTGGATGTCAAGAAGGACTCTTTCCACTTACAGTCTCTGCCCAGCATCTTGTTGCTCACCGGAGATGGACGACATACCACACTCCTGGGCTCACATTCGTCGGGCTGCCTCTCCTATTCTCTCAGCTCCTCTTTCCCAACCCACCCGGTGATCCTTCCGGAGTGCACCGGGAGATGGACCTGGCTGGGTGCACTGGTCGATGTTTCGAACAGGCCCGGGTTCAAACGGGCTCGGTCTGCAAGCGGGCGGTCGGTCTCCCTATTTGGATATATATATATATATACACACCCATCATTCCGAAGCCTCATGTCCTCCTCCACCCTGCACGCTTGGCTTATCGCTCCTCCTGGATCGCCAGCGCCAGGCGCGCCAGCGCGTCGCCGTTCCCGTCGCCGTCCTCCGCGGGCGACGGGAACGCGGCGTCCTCGCGGTTCAGGTGCTGAAGGACCGGCGCTAAGAAGGTCAAGACCTCGGAGCTTTGCGTCGGCCATCGTCGTGAAGGTCGTGAAGATGGTCAGGTGAGCTATACGACTCGAAAAAGGAACCATAAGGACTCCCAAAAGTTCAGAATCCGGGGTCGATGGAAGCTGTGTAGGTGTTCTCTTCCTAGAAGAAAATGGGCTAGTTTGAGAAATTCTGCGAAGAGTGCAAACGCACTGCCAAAGCCTTGGCTTGCACTCGAATTCCTCCTCATTTCAAGGTCGTTTCCTCGATCAATTCAGCCAATGGCTGTGGATCGTGGTGCCCCAGAACTGGTCTATGATATGAATGGACGCTTTTTCACCAAACGGACGCTCTAGCTCTCCCATGACGGGTGTTGCAACCCCAAGTGGGGTATGGGTCTGCACATGTCCGGTGGAGCCAAGGCTGGTCACAACCATATACCGTATATTATGTCTATCTATCTACACCCGAACCATCCATTTATGCCATAGTTTCTTACATTTTGGGTCACAACATGTCATATATCGGGTAAATGCATGCAACTATTCCAGTCCCATGGATGGTCTGGGCTACATCCCTGATACACCAAGGCTCTCATCCGTCTCATCAAGTGTTTTTTCACCCTAAGGTGCCAGAAGCCCTACTGTTCGGGGAAGTGGCAGGACATGGGTCCCCCCCAACTGACGAACTGACGGTCTATGACCGTCTGAAAAATCTCCTGCATGGTGGGAAAACACCACTCCTTCATTGCGCCAATCGACCCAAAAACGCGTGAAAAACGCATAAAAACGCGTGATACCCCGGCAAATCTCCCGCATCAAATCTCCTGGGCTTGATCCACTTGATCTGAGAAACATCTTTGTGCCCAGATGAGGCCGAGTCCTTCGCAAAGTTCAAGAGGCTCCACCATCTGAGCACCGGCTCACCGGCCAGCGGATGAGAAGGGAACATCGGGTGGAAAACCCCGCGGTGTTGAGGTGCATCTCTTCCATTCACGTCCCAGGCCCTAGGCATCTTTACTGCGCGTGGAAAAACCTGCCACTTAGATGAAGCCAAAAAGTTTTGGCTGTGCAACTTTGATGGAGAATAGGCCGACAAGCACTGAATAGTCTGGGGTCCGCATGTCCAAGTTACTGAAACACATCTAAGCAGTGTTCATGGACTGTCCAGGATGTGACGTGCATCTGAAGAAATTGCATCAGGGTGGAACAAACAAACTTGCTCTGTGATATCAAGGAGTTGCTTGCTTGGTTGGTGACTTGCTTGATTGGTTCGGTGGGTCGCTCTCCTGACTTCCTCCCCTGTTATGTTCATGGACATCACTTCCACAGCCCCTGGGACTTCACCAGCCCAGGCACCGAGGATCACTGATACTTGCCAGCGCCTGCAAGAGCGCGTTGAACCAGCACCACTGCCTGGTGCTGAGTGGCACTTCTTCTCCACCCGCAGGTTGCCAGGTTTGGTGCCGATGAAGAGCGCCAGGATGAGAAATGCAAGGTGCTAATCAAAAGACTGGGAAGTCCCATACATTGCCCCCTCCTTGCCCAACACATCAAACCATTCTCGCAACCAAAACTCACATCACCCACGTACCACGCCAGCAGACATGCTGCTGCTGGAGTTTCTCTCAAAAAATGCTCACCAACGGCCATCAGGAACCCCGCCAGCACAAGGCTTCCTAAGCCAAACCAGGGCATTTGCAGCAAAGGTGTTTGTGTCGCCCTTTGGCTGAATGAACATCATCAAACCTGACCCCCCTCACTCAGGTGTGGTTCAAGACAATGACGCGGGGAATCATAGAGAGGTCGGTGCCAGGTATCCTTTGCTTATTGGTAGTTCACGACCATGAATCCCTCGTCTATTCATCCACCAACCCAGGCCATCAATGGGCCTTTGATGGGTCAAAACACGTCCCAGACCTGGAGATTGAGGTCCAGTGACCTGAGTTCCAGAGAAACCTTCTCACGTTCGGTACCCCAGGACCCACCTGGCACGCAAGCACCAAGGGTCAACGGAGGGTACGACCGGAGCCCAAGGGTGAATGGTACTCTGACTCTGACTCTTACTCTTGTGGGATGTGAAAATTACACGTCAATTTGACGCCAACAAGTTACGGGCGCTCTTGACTGCCTGGGTTGTGGAGTCGCAGACGGACAAGGAGGGCCATGGGCATACCCACTGTAAAATCAAGTCTTATGACGTTGAAGATATGTCCCATGATCAGGGATCATGAGATCATGTGATATTGGTGTTTATGTGGAGTCACCACCTGTCTGTAGCCCTAGGGCTCCAAGTACTATACCGTAATGTAGACTCTTTATTAATACACCCCCCATATGAAGAGGATGTTCAATTCAAATGGCTGGGGTTATTAATCAAGAGTCTACATTGTACAGTACCTCCTTACAAAATGTTTGGACCCTCTAAACCCACCCCAGTCCAACCTTCGAAAACGAAGGTACGACCGGAGCCCTCGGGTATATATTCGGATATCATGGTCATCCAAAATCGGGGCCTAATGCCATTCATGTAACCATGATTCTTTCAGGGAGTGCATCACGTCCACCAAGCTGCCCTGGGTTCTGAAAGGCTCGAGGCAACCTATCCATGCCATAGCTGTTCGCGCAGTCCGGCGCTGCGATCGCGCCGGGACATCCAGAAGCAAACTAGGGGGGTGGTCCAGAAGAATATCAGGTATCAGTGGTTGAAGGCCATGACCAACAAAACACAAAGCTGCTCAACCGCTTGCAGGAACTCCAAGCAATCATGGCAACTCCAATGGTTTGGAGAAGCTCCTACACCCCTCGCCCATGGTGGATTTCATTTGGGATTCCTCTATCTTGTCCATCTATCTTTGGTACAAGCAGCAAAGCCATGTGAGCTATATATGTACTGGATACAGCTATGGAAGAGGAGGTGAATCATTCAAGTCCATATGTCCTTGTACCTATGATGCATGACGGCAGTCCCCCAAATATCAGAGACTCGGATGAGATATGGTCTGCTAAGTCTGCTAGAATTCCCCCCCAAGTCTGATCAATGAAGAATGTGGCAGATGCTGAGGATATGAAGATTAGCACTGCAACTGACAGATTTTGCTAGAGACGAACGGGCAACCTGTGCAACCCGGAGCAGTGCAACCGGGAGGAGCAGTGCATCTTGAACGCTCCGTCTTGATGTACCAAGCTTGAGCTTTGAAGCAACAGACTGCGGAACATGGGCGTTTCTGGAGGTCACTGAGATGTCTGACACATCTGACACCAATTCAAGCTCCTTTCGCCTCTCCCTGAAGGAAGGCCGTGTGGTCTGAACCGAGAACATCGAATCCAGAAAGTCTTGTGCCGCTTGAACCGTCCCCACCCTCATCCCCGACGCCTGTTCGCATCGCATCCGTTTAGGGGAATGCTAACGGTCGGACACCGACCCGAGACCAACCCTCCCCAGACACGACCTGTCTGGGACTGCCATAGGACTGCCACACAAAGACTCTTCTGGCACCACCTCTGGCTTGATCGGCAGTCCTATGGCAGTCCCATGGAGTTTCTTCAACCCTCTGAAAAGTCGTCTTTTCTCGAAGGCATCCAAGTCGTTGGATCAGAGCCGCCGCCTCCACGAGAACCGAGGGAGAAGAACGTGGGAGAGAACCTCTGGAATGGAGGTGTGATGAAAATCTCAGTCTGTTGATCAACTGGAATTTGAATCAACAAGGGGCTTTTGTTCTACAAGTTTAAGATTTGGGTGAGAGAAAGCTGCTCACTGGCACTTCCCATACCCTTCATCCAATCCAAAAGAAACAGACTGCTGATCAACCTGGGCAAAGTCGCATCCACCTTCAAAGGATGTCCAGATTCTGTGTCACCACTCGAATTGCGGGACGTTCGGGCCATCAAAAATACGATCGGGGCATTGATTCAGCAACTCGAACCCGAGTCAAACCCTACCCCTAGACTTCCAAGACCATTAACGATATCCTTAGTTGATTTGGTAAAGCCTGGTAAATTAATGGTGGTTGGAAGCCTAGGGCTACCCCACCAAAAAGAAATGCGTGAAACCAACTTTTCGGCCCACTCAACATGAGCCTGAGCCCTTCGTCGCCTATCAAAGAATTTCGGACGGTGAGACTGATGCTGAAGCTGCTTAGCACCCAGTCAACATGAAGTCGTCAGCCGAAGTCGTCAGCCCAAAGAGGTCAGCCGGCTGCATTTGGCACAGAAAAGGCCTGCTGCCAAGACCAACCATAAAGCGGCTCCAAAGAGCCAGTTGAAGCCCCAAAGGTTGCCTTGGATCTGAGATGTAAAGCCGACTCACACCAGTGGTCCGACTCAAAAATACACTCAGTGGCCGACCCAAATAATGCAAAAAAGCATCTGTGGCAAAGCCTTCTGTAAATCATCCCTTTTTGGGGGGGAATTGAGCCGTTCGAGCCTTGAAATCCAATATGATGATTTACTGAAAGATCATGTTTGACCCGTATGGCCGTGTGGTCACCAAATATAGTCACCAAATATCACATATCTGACATATCTTAATCACGGCTATGGCGGGTTCAAACCCGGGGCACTTGGTTGACCACAGATTTTTTACACAGAATGGACTACTGGGGCCACTGAGGAGGTCAACCTGCCAGTTTTTAGGGCTCCGGGTTTTGGCCCACAGCCATATGTGTCTGGATGGTCCATGTGTTACTTCATCACTTCATCTGTCAACAACGTCCCCCGAAGTTCAGCATCCATGTTGCCAGGTTTTTCCGTCAAATAGACGACAGCATGCAAAAGACCTTCCCAGGCCACTACTGCCGCGATCAGCGGCAAAGATAGCACCACAGCAGCCTTGAGCTGGGACATCCACTTCAGGAGCCGAACCCCTATAGTGCCAAGAATAAAGAAGGACCAAACCGCCATGGAATATGCCAAGACAACTCTGAACCATTGCATGTAGAATTCCGTGAAGCAGTGCCAAGCCACTACATCTGCAGGTAAGAAAGGCATGAGCAAAGGAACATCTCTTACCATTGTCACGGCATCGCACAGCTTTGGGGCGATTGCACTCAACATCCTGACGAACGAAGTTTTGCGGTCCGCTCGTGCGAACGATCAAATCACCAGCAAAGCCTTCGGCAAGACCGAGGTGGGATCTGACCGCGATCAAAGCAGCTTTAGATGAGTCTTCCCTAAAGAAAAAACACAAACAGAGAGGCGTTGGGGCAGAAAAAATAGAAAGAATACCTGCTAGAAACCATCCCAGCATCAATAAAAAGATAGTGCGTCGCGGCAACACGGCACTATCAAGGCGATGCAAGATCCATCGCTTTAGCTGTTTGTGAATGGCATGGTTCAATCGCTCGAGATGTTCCTCGTGCACATCTCCATCAGTGCCGTACCAGTCTTTCAACATCGCATAGATCAAGTCCCGGTCACAAGGCAACGTCTCTTGAGTCTTTGGGTGCTTGTGATCATGGCTACAACAAAAGCTATCAGAGCTTCGAATGTCAAACTTTTCAAGTTGAGGCTCCAAATCACGAACTTCTTGCAATAGCCCGATCATCCAATAGCCCATCACTGGGAGACTGCAGGCCCACACAATGGCGCCATACCCGAGACTGGAGGTGATGGAAGCGTCCCAAACGTCGGTTCCTGGAACTCCCAACATCAATTCCTGATGTTGGTGCTTTTGCACAAAGAACGCGTTCCAAATGTTCCAAAGCACCAAAATTGTGTTGTGTTTGACAAAGCCAGAAAATGTTGCCGGGAGTGAACCAGCCCTTTGGACCAGTCTCATTCTTCCAAAAAACCTGCCCTTCTTGTGCAAAAAGAGAATCAGCAGGAAGTTTCATAGATGGATCAAACAAAAAGAACAGAAAATCCTGCCAAAGCAACGGCCAGAGTCTTGCCAGGACCACCAACTGATGTATAGTTGAAACACCTGCACGAGGCTCACTTCTACGAAGCAAAGAATAAGAATCCATGACATCGCCACTGGAAAGACAGTCAAGGATTTGTCTGTCTGCTCATTCGCGACACTTGTGCTTTCTTTCCGGAGGAAGGTGGCAACCTCATAGCTACACCAAAGGCGTGTGAAGTAGCGCTTGGACCAGAGAATGGTCAAACTCTGGGACTTGTCCAAGAAGGCAGACAAGCCTAAGATGCCCTTCTCTTTAAGCCTCGGATCATGCTGGGCAATGCAAAGCCTGTCCAGGAAGACAATGAGCGGCCGTCCAAGCAAGCTGCGGAGGCGCTGCCAAAAGCAAAAGAAGAGCCAAAACACGAGCCATGGCACAAGGCTCGTAGTTAATTGGTGTGGTGCCCCATGTGATGGTGCCCAAAGAGCTTCACTTTCCCGCACAAGCCCCACCACGATGGCACAGATTTGCGAGGCCAAGGTTGCAGCTGGCAGGTTGAAAACGAAGAACATGCTCCAAACCTTTGCCGCTCGCGATGTTTTCCAGTCATGGCTGAGAAAGTGATCGTACTTTGGCACTTGGAAGCTCTTCTCATAGTCAGAACTCTTCTGGGACTCGTACTGACCGCCATCAGCACCATGAGTGCTCCAGTGCTTGCCCCATTGGCTCAAGCAAGTGCTCAGACTCACCCCTCGCAGCAGGAAGTCATCCACTTCCAAGGTGAGTTCGCGCGACGCAAGCGACGTCGGAGAAGTCTGGAACACCTTGGATTTGCTGACAGGAACCTAGTAGGACCCAGGTTCCAATAGGAACCTCTTCCCTACAGGAGCATCCGACTCTACAGGTCTCCTCTGGTAGCTTTTGGAGACTTAAATGTTGGAGGTGGTGGCAGAGGATGCTGGTACAAGGGATTCACCCAGCTCGGAAGTATACAAATCACATCAAATCGCTAATATACATTAATTAATATACAAGTCACCCTGCACGGCTGTGTGTCAAAACCACCGAACAATTAATCGACTAGACGACCTAAGACATGGTTAATCTATCGGGTGCCAGAGGTGCCCTGACCCACTGCCGCCATATGAGCGTCGGACAAGACTAAACAGTAAGAAGATGTAAGAAGACTGTTGACTTACAGTATTTCTGTCGGGTACAACCTCTGTAATACAGGTGTCTGGTTGAACCTATCAGCAAAACCAAGACACCTGAGCTTCAACCTCTGTGGTCCCTCCCGCCACGTGAAGGGCACAGTCTGGTGCGCCGCCATGCGTGGCCGCCGCGGGCGCGGGCGGCACGCGCGCGGCGTCCAAGGACCAAGGATCGGGCATTCGGGGTTGAGGTGAAGCGGCTGTGTTCGACTGTGTTTGGTGAAAAGAGAATGAGCCACTCATGCTTATGTGACATAATGTAGAAAAAGGGTGTTAATTAATCCATATTAATGGATATAGCCAGCTACCAGCTGGGGAGTTCATGTCCTTCCAGTTCAGTAGGCATTTAGAAGATCAGCCTATCATTTTGCAGTATCGCTATCAGGCACTACCAAGACGCTCAAAGAATCACTGCGTGCGTGTCCAGTTGCGGACTGCGATCATTATGATGTCCAGAGATCAAAACGGCTGCAGGGTGCGTCACCACGTGTGCGAGACCCAAGAGAATGAGAATGACATGACAACCAGATGTGCGAGACCATGTGTGACAACCAGAAAGTCCAAGAGAATGACATCGTCAACAAGCCACCGTTGAAACAGACAGAATCCACACGACACAGTGTCGAGTGTCGACAGCAAGGGCGCGCAGCCATGACAACAGCCATAGCTTCTCACAATAGCAATCACAAACTCGCTGCCATGGATGCAAACAACAACAACAACAACAACAACAACAACAACAACAACAACAAGAACAAGAACAAGAACAGTAACAAGAACAACAACCAACAACCATAACAGCAACATACACAAGCAAGCATGGCACCAGCGAGACGAAGTTAAAATCACAAGAGCAACAGTAAACTTAATCCAAAAACTCCAAAACCGATGTCCCTCAAAGTGACCTCAGGAAAAAATGATGAGAAAGGGCTGCTGGGTGGAGATAGCTTGCAATGTTGCATTCTGTCTCAAATAATATCAAGATTTTGGCTGTGGGTCAAATCCCTGCAACATGAACACAATACCCTACCAAAACCTGGTTCATCCTGGTTTCTCTACCACTGAAATTACTTTTCTGGTTAGGTGTTGACATGTGTTGACCCAGTTCCCAGTTTGGGTGAGTCTTGAACTCCACCGAAAGCTTCTCGGCGAAGCACTGTCGACGGCCGGCAGCGGGGCCTCATTCGACGACGCCTTTGGCCGCCGACACGGTCGGGTCGGGGTCTTCGTCGTTCACCTGGCGGTCAGTCATTTCGAGGGGTGGTTGGACTTCCGAAGATGGTTAAAAGGTGTGAAAGGGGTGCTCACATCTTTAAAAACCACCCCTTCGAAAGAAGATATATAAATCAGTGAATATCCTTTCCAATCTGTTCACCAATCATTCATGTTTTTCACATCTTTTCACCACCCCTCTGATTACCGTAGTTTGGTGAAAAGATTGGAGTCTCGATCAAAACATGTCGGAGGTGTTCGACCAAAACAAAACTCGTCCCACTTGCTTTGTTTCAGTGAACTCGAAAAGAATTTGGGAAGAGAAACATCTGTTTGAGCCTCAAGGACTCTGCTTCTGAGCAGCACTTTGGGTCCGAAAAGAGCGGATCGATGCGATGCTCAAGCAAACCTGGGAGCCACAAAACTCCAAGAGGCCATCAGGCTAAGATGTGTGTTTCCTTCCCTAAAAACCTATAGAAACCACATAGGTACCATATATATATATATTATAGTCGTGCCAGCGCCTGTTCCGCTGGCCCCATCCGGACCGTCCTGTTCCGAAGAGCCTTCCTATTGCTAGCGGAAAGCAAGCTTACCTCCGAAGTAGGGTCTGGGGGCTTTTAAAAGATGTAGATCTGTAGATCTTGAGATGGCTATGGGTCAAAATCATTCAAAATAGGGGTATAGCCCCCAACCATTGGTTTATAATGATAATCCCTACTGAAATGGTAGTTATTGGGGGTATCCTATTTTGACCCATGCCCAGATAAATATTTAACTAAAGTTTGGAGCGCTTTCCCCTCCTTTCCCCTTGGGAGCGCAGAAAAATCGCCCGGACTCCACCGGGGGATGTCGCCTTCTTCTCTGCGCAGGGACTCGAGTCGTCGCCCGGTCTTTTTCGGTTTTGGAGTTTCGATTCGGTGGTCCAAGTGGGGCAGTTGGTTCTCTGTGGAAACCCCTAGTCTTGGGGGCCAGAGGTGGTCGGATTTGCTTTGAGGAACCTGATTTGGATTCATTACATAAGGAGATTCACCCAGGCGGAAAATTAAAAGATCACCAGATCCACAAAACCAGGTCCAGTGGTTTCGTATGTTTGGACCGACCCGGTGGTCGCCCCGTTCCACCTCGGAGCTCCGAACGAACCAGGGGGGTGCCGGACCCACATCATGGATTTTCTCAGCTTTTGTCCAATCCTCACCTGGACAGGTGCAGAAGCTTCTAGTTGGCTAAATCAATCATATTGGCAATCAATGCATCTGTCCAACAAGACTGTGCCTTTTCATTCTAGAGCACTCAACTATGATTGGACTGTCCATCGGTGACCCCGGACGCCGAACGGAAGGTGCTTGTACATGTCAGGTATCAGATTATCATCTGACAGTACGTGAGTGCTTCTTCCTGGTGTCCACTTTCAATTCTTTCACAAAATAACATCATATAAAAGCTACCAGCAACACGGATTCCGGGTGTCCATTGACCTCTAAGGGGTGTCCATGTCTACCACCCAACTCCTGCGGGTCCAGGTGTGGTGCTGGTTTGCTCCCCCGTGTTCGTCTCTCCATGAAGCCGTGTTCCGTCCATCCATCGGTTTCGACCCATGTACCGGTCCGCACCGGTCCGGGATCTTCCAACGCAGCTCCATGTCTGCCTTTGTTTGCATCTATAGTACAGCCAAGTGAGGCAAACATGTGTTTCGCATCGTTGGAAGATCCAGGGAGAGAAATAGGACGAAACCACCCATGACGAAAGGCCTCGATCGACGTGACGAGCGGCTTCTTTTCCTAGCTGTCTCTTCGAAGCAGCTCGACGAGTTCGTCGAGCGGCGGCGGCGCGTTTGGTCCACGCCTCGAGCTTGGTCTCCGGCCAGGGATGCCTGCCACAGACCGATGATCGGCTCGAACACGAAAAAGCATGGTCGTTGCATCACGTTTTGCATCCGTCGACCGTAGACCATGGCCGACTGTAGAAGGGTCACACCCAACAGGCTGCGTGTGATGCTGTATTTACACCCGACAGGCCCCTGATTTCTGGCCATCTGAACTCACGGGGTTGTGACCAATGAGAAATCACCTCAGGTGCGGTCGCCACTGCCTTCACCCGTCTATAGCGCTCGGTTCCGAACTAGCCCGTTTCTCGATGTTTCGGCCCATGATGTCCTGTTTTCACGGGGCTCGGTGGTCAGCTGCGGCTCAAAGCCGACCAAGAGCACTCGACTCCTTTCACATCGTAAGTGGTTCTTGTCCGTGCCCCATATCACTCGAAGCAGAAGCCAGAAGCACGGGTGCAACTCGGTCCAAGAGAAAAAATGTGTCACTGTTTATGGCGTCGAAGCTCGCCAGGCGAGAATCATCTCTTTTCAACGTGACCGGTCATCCATGCTTCTCCTGGAAACAATGGCTTCACCACCCCTCAGCCATTTTGATCAATCACCCGAGTGGTTCAAATCCAGACTCTCACACCCAGACACTCTATGGGACTGGCATATTGACGTATATTGACCCCTGAAACCATCCCAGTGTTGGTATATTATATGATATATGTGTCATACATCGAGTGTCTGGGATAGTGAGTCGCCATGGCAACTGCCTTGGCCCTAACCACATCCCAGAGGTGGTTCAGCCATGATCACATCTGCGAAACCTTCGGGCGATCTTTCAACGCACCGAATCAGCTCCACGGTGCGCTCCGTCGGGCGCCGTCGGCATCCGTCGAGGCCGGCCCCCAGATCGAATGTCATCGATATGTACATCAGGGATCATCAGGGGGGGTTGATCTGACCAGAGTCACCCCAAGTAAACCCATCTTCACGCCGCCTGTTCCGCGCATCTTGGCCACCGCGGGTGGCCAAACTCCGTTGCATCTCAACCCGAAAGCGAGCAGAACCCTGCGACCAAGCGGACAGGAAGACGAGTTCTCTTGGGTACGCCCTGGAAGAGACCCACATGGAACCTGAAAGCCACTGAAGACTGAGTTGTAGAGGAACATCATCTTCCAGTCTGGTCCATGCCATCAGGTTCCATGAAGGTCTCTTTCCGGGTGTAGCTCACAGCTTCCATTCACATCAACCCCCCTATCCACTTCCTCCATACTCTGCGCTTTTGCCTACCCGGCGGGGGGTCAGTGGTGTTGCTCGTGGCTCACTTAGGGCGAGGTGAAGCCTCTGCCCAACTCCAAGCCAACGGCTAAGAGGTGAAGTCCTGACTTCAAGAGCGAAACAGCGCAGGTAGGCGCTGAAATACAGTGCTGAACAGCAGTGCAGGTAGTTGCGCTAAATTGCGAAAGGCAAGGTTTTTTGGGGGGGAAGAGTGCTTTTGGATGTTTTTGGGAGAGGTGTTCGTGCCGAATACGCCGACCCCAGCGTGACTGTTGATAAAAAGACCGGGAACGGATAAGGCTAAGGCTAATCATATAAGTAAAGGCTAAGGCTATACCTCCCCTACCCCGCCGGAGCTTGGCTTAAGTGACGAAAAGGTCGCGAAATTAGCCAAGAATTGTCCAAGATTTGTCCAAGATTTCTCCATCCCAATTGATTCACATCTTGGGGCACCCTCTCCACCCGCGGGGGAAAATAAGCACGGTCCCTAAATGGTCCCGGGCTCGAATCCCGGCCTGGTTGCGGCCTGGTCCCTGCCAGTGCCCTTGGTTTTTCCTAGATGTTGTAACGTTTTCCGCTGGATTTCTAGGACTTTCAAATGTTTTTGTAAGATTTACTCATGCCTTTTTCGAGGGCTTTTCCAGGATTTTCTATGGCTTTTCTAGGAAGTTCTGTGGCTTCCTGAGATTTTCCACTCTTTTTTCTAAGGTGTTTTCGAGGGTTTTTTCTAGAAGTTTCTCCTCTATGCGCTCCGCACGTGCAAGCTTTTTCTGCTCTTTTCTAGTGCTGTGCTCGCATTCTGCAAGTGTGCCGGTGGAGGCTTTTGGGTTCCCAGATTTTCAACGAAAAATGCTAACCCATTTGCCGTGCTCTCTTCTGCCTACTTTGGTGATGCAGTGACAGATCATGTCTGTAGGGGTTCCGTGTTGTTTTTTGGGTTCCCCGATTTTTCAAAAAAAAACTCTTAACCCATTAAACCTAGGCCATCCACTTCCCTGGGGGTCGGCGGCTGCCAGGCACTAGCCTGGTTAAATATTCTTTCAATACGACTGTTTCAGAAGGTGAGTTTCACAACGGGACAGATGCGATCTGTATCCATGATATCCATGTGTGGATTGTAAGGGCAAAGCGAGGGCAAAGCGAAGGGAACGAGTCCGGGAACTTCGGTGTTTTAGAATGAGGTTGATTGAGGTCGTGAGACCGGTAGCAAGCTCAGCATCGGGGAACTCTGATTCTGATTGTGCTGCTCCAGTCAGAGCACCACAGACTCGACCTGCAGGATCAACTGGATCAACTCGTGCTCGCGACTTTGGCCAGTGATCTACCCCATCACGGCCCATCACTCTAAGCATATCACCAACTTCCATTGGACACCCCACACACAAGCTCCAGGTCCTTTTTTCTTCCACCCCTACCAGGCCCTACTACCTATCACCTCCTTGCACGCCCACATCGTGCGGGTCCGTCCCCCACCACGTCTCCTGTGATAGGCATCACCCCTTTCAGCGCCAAGCTCCGCAGCTCCTCGGGCAGCGAGGCCAAGGACACCCGCCGCACCACGATGAACTCCCCCTCGTCCAGCTCCTTCCCGGTCGAGCCGACCGCCGAAAAAGGGCGGCGCCGGGAACGCGGAGCGCAGCGAAGATGTTGGAGCGGTTTCTTGGGTTCTGGCGAAGGTTCAATCGTGCAGGAAGGACGGCGGCTTTGGCCAGGCAGGCAGCAGGTCTTGGGAGTTTTGAGGTTGATGGGACATGTGAAGAACAAAGACATGGGTCCTTGGATTTGAGATCGGAACGGCCGTCTCGTGAAAAGCTATGCTCAACCTGCTCAGCTGAGGCTTTTGAGAAACCCTCCAGGACTGCAGGACTTTGAGATCTCTTGAAACCGCCCAAATGTGGAACAACTCTGGACCGGATGGTGCTTCTGCACTGAAGGAAACGGTGAGGCAAACCGTGCCCGAAGTGCTGAGGAAACTGACGTGGTTAAAAAATAAACACCTCAGGACGCTCCAAAAATCTCGTTCAAGCAGAAGTTCACTGCCATGTAAGGGTACAAGTGTGTGGGTAGCCAGTCTGCCAGTCCCCAAAAGCTGCACGAAAACAGTTCAAGTCGGGCTCGATGGGCAGCTGCGGACGTCTGATCAGTCTGATCCGCTATTAAAAGGGATTGCGGACGTCACCGCGACTCCGTTTCAAGGCTCGACCACTCGATGCGACGTCTGTCCCCTCGACATGAAAACCATCGCCCTCACCGATTGGTCACCGCCACCGCTCGACGCCTGCTGAGGCTGTTGGTTTTCCTCGACACGGGCACGGCCGAACGGGACCCATTTCAGAGCAGATGGCACAGGCGGGCACGCATTCAACTAACCTCCCAAAAAAACTTGGTGTTCATTGTAATTTTGTTGATTGAACTATCCCACCAACGTGTTTTTTTCTCGAGAAGCTCTTCTGCCTTTTGATGTGCAAATCTCCAGGCACCAAACAGAACCCCGTCAGCCCTTATATCCATGCAGGTGTCTGAAAAGTTAAAACTCGTTGCTGGCTGAAGTCACCCTTGACATTTCGCTGCCAGATGTCTGACAACTTTGGAGCAAGCAGTCTTTGGGGACGACACAAAAAGAACGATCCACAGAGATCGAAACATGTGCAACTCCCCTGTCGGATGCCGCCATAAGGGGCGTGTGGGTTCTCGTCACACCGAAGAAAAAAAACGACATCTTCATGCCATCCAAGTAACTGGTTTGTCCATGTCAACGTCTACCACCACCAGCTTCACCTGAGAATCATTGGCAAGAATTGAACATGCAGGAATCCTTGTCAGAGCATTGTGTGTCACGAACCCTTTGGAGGCACAGGGACCACCTGCGTCATCTCAAAAGTCATTTAAGTCGGCACCAAGTGAGTTGGCTGTTTCAAGCCCGAAAATGATCATGGGGACATATATATATACGTACACATACATATATTCTAATATATATATATATATAATATGTCTCTTGTGGTATATAAATGAGGCCACCTGAAATACCTTGGTTTGAGATCTGTTCTGCGATAGTGTTTGGTGTTATATGGTGTTATCGTCTACTGCCTAGTGAGTTTGCCGGCGGTCCACAGCGAGAAATTGCCAGATGGAAACTCGTTTTGTAACTCACTGGCACTGGTTAAGAAGGGGGCAGCCAACAGCAGAGTGAACCAGACAGGGGCCGCCCAGTCTGATCCACAACAGCTCAAGCAAGCGATCTTCCTCAAAAACCGAGTTCCGCAATCCACAACTGAGCTGGCGCCAGGACTCCTCTTTTTGACACCAATGATCGACCAATAGTGAGATTGTTTGATCTTTATAGAATAATTTGCTCGCATGCCTTTCCAATCCTTTCCATATCTCAACAATTCTATTCATTGGAGAAAATGCTCCTCTACCTGAGAAACAGGATTCAGGTCACCAGTCATTCAGTGGTACTTGTATGGCTAACAAATCACAAGGGTTGTCAGCGATTGTCATCAACTTGTAGACCTTGTAGCCTGTTGTTGCGGGGATATCATGTGGAAACTGTTTTACCCTGTTTTAACAGGCCCAAAGTCTGCTCCTATATAGTAGGCTCCAAGTGCTTGGCTGTCACATGTTGTTCACTCTCCGCACCACTCGGCCCTCTCTGCTCGGCCCAAGCACTGTCTCATCACTCAGCCCTGGGGACATTGTCAAGGGAATGGAGCTCTTTCCGCGCGCTGTCCCAGTGTAGCCTGGGCATGGTCGCAAAGCTGGGGATGTCGAGTAGA